TTTCTAACATCGAAACGGTCATAGGTTATTTTTAGATGTTAAATTATTTTTATAAGTATTTTCCTTTTTAATTAAATTTATTATAATAATTTTGGTTTTTTTTCGAACCTCCGGCTGCAGTAAACGTAATTGGCGCAGTCGGTAGGATGCTCGCGGGCTGTATCCTTGAAAAACTTGGACTCTATCTATCGTTTCCGCGATCGCGTGTCGCCCGGGCGGCTTTCTAGCGCCGAAACCGAGTATCCTGAATCTACGGACCCGCTGCAGACCAGAGGCGAATCTAGAAATCGATTCCAAAGGGAAAACCAGATGATGCTGTATATGTAAGTACACTTGAATTTTTCTCGTGTTGCTTTCCTTTAGTCCTTATCCTTAATATTTTTAGTGTTTCAAAATTTTTCACCCAAGAAGTTTGAAAGTACGGCAACCTGTATCACAACAGGCTCGCCAACATATATTAGATTTAAATAGAGATATAAATTTAGAGTTAATAATGGAAAATCAATTACATACCCAAACCCAGACTGCTAGTCCAATCAGTAGTCATAAAATGGATACCGATACAATTTTTAAAGCTTTTCGTCTTATACCGGAATTTGATGGTAATCCGAATATACTAACGAGATTCATTAATATCTGTGATCGAATAGTGGCTGAATACGTTAAAGAGGGACAGGAAAATTTATTTAACAATGTTTGCTTATTGAATGGTATATTAAATAAAATTTCGGGTACTGCTGCATCGACTTTAAACTCAAACGGAATACCGGAAAGTTGGCTAGGAATCAGAACCACCCCTACAATTGGAGAAGACACAGGACAATATATATCATACAACAATACCCTTTTATATAATAGTCCTCATAGGCATCATTATTCCTGCTGCAACCCTTCTAAGCCGCCGCTTCAAGATATGGCAAAATAGAAAACTTATTGCTCATCCTCCAACTACCAGTGAACACAACTACGCGGATCCAGAAAACCTGAAACAGGATAACCAGAGACATCCAGCGACATTTTCACTAAAGGTTCTCAAATAGTCGCTGCTCTCGGGGTGGAGGAATTATGTATGAACACTGGAAGAGAATCCCTTACGCAGCTATGTCTATACCTAATCGCCGTGCATCGACGTCGAGGTCAAGCTGACACGAGTTGCCGACGCTGCAGTTTACACCACTTAAGCAATTATAATATTTCATATTCACTCTGATTTCTAACATCGAAACGGTCATAGGTTATTTTTAGATGTTAAATTATTTTTATAAGTATTTTCCTTTTTAATTAAATTTATTATAATAATTTTGGTTTTTTTTTCGAACCTCCGGCTGCAGTAAACGTAATTCTCTTTATATTATAAATATAAATAATATATGTTCATAATAATAATACAAACATACATATAATTTTCGAGAATTTTATAAAGAAGGATGATTAAAAAATCTTGTAATGTTATAAGCCATTCTTTTATTTCAGAGACACGATTAGCTTTTGTGGGTTATCCATCACAATAATTGATGGTTTTGCCAGATTTGGAATAAGCCTATCGGTCACCCACTTTGTAAAATTTTCTTTATTCATGTCGTGGTGATATTCAGCAGACATACTTTTTGATTTATATACTAGGCAACAATTAGGTACAAAGCCATTTTCTACACCAGCTTTAATCCATTGGAAAATTGGTCACTGCTACCTCTAAGGATTTCTTGAGCGACTCAATATTTGGGTGATGCTTAGAGCAGGCCATGTCCTCTTGCACAGATCACAATTTATAGTCCTATAGGTTTAAGTCCGGACCAGCTGAAGACATTTTGCTCAAGCCAAATTTGGGTAGTGCACGCCTTATGATCCGGAGCTGAATCTTATTAAAATGTCCACATTTCGTTTTTGAATAAGGTGCTGTTAAGGGGCTTAATTACCACTTCTAACCCGGTATCTTGATACACTTCGGCTGAAGTTTTCACTCCTTTTTCGCAAAAATTGAGTTTTGTAATCCCTTGGTAGGAGACACCATACCATGTGCTGGATGATGGCCTCGCTGAACTTTGACCACTACCTCGGAAGCTTCTTTTGAGCTGTGTGCATACACTCGATCATTTTGTTTGTTGTAGTGCTCTTTGATTGTAAATTTTTTTCATCGGTAAAAATAATTTTTCTATTTTTCGTCCGCATATCGAAGTAACAGCTGTTTTGAGCTTTCGACCCTCTTTGTTTTAGTGCCTGATTTAAGGTATGTCCTGTGTATCTCCAGTAAGCCCCTAGACCTTCTTTGGTAATCCGAGAAAGTGTCCAAGAAAGTATCCGAGAAAGGATTTTCTGCTTCCTTATGGGATTTCGACGAATAGGGATGATGACTAATTTTTGTTTGTCCGTCAGGTAGAGTGTTAAAAAATATTAAACACGTATTTTTTTCGTAATCATAAAATTACGGCGTTACATGGAGTTGAAATTTCGCATGACGTCACGTTAGGGTACGTTTTCTACTCAACTGTGACGTAGCGAGTCCCCACTTCTCAACTTTAATGCCTGTTATCTAAGCTATTTCTTGTTAAATTGAAGTAAAAAAAAAATACGTATCTAATATTTTTCTATTATCTGAATGACGGATTAAATAGAATTGTTTTTTTTTTACCCAGTCATCATCCCTATTCTGGCCTTGCACTGCATAGATGGCGGCCGGATCTCTCACGGTCATCAACAGACATAGTTTCATTGTATCCTTGGATGGTACGATACACAAACATTCGGCAAATCCCTAGCTTTTTCAATGTTTCAAAAATGCCGGCTGGTTCCTAACCTACTTTGTACAGTGTAATTACTGCAATCCTATTCTCTTTATTGCCCCACTCCAATTTCAAAACAAATAATTTCTAAACAAAAACATACAATAATAGCGGGCAAGAAGTTTATTTTTTTATCGTAGAAGCTAATGTTCGAAATTCATATTAATGTTTTTTTTTTAAATGTTTATAAACAGCAAGTTACAGAATTTACGGCTAGACTTGGTAAATACCAAAAAATAATGTTCTTCTGGCTGGACGTAAAAACAACACCACTTTTTCGAATTACCCTTTTATACTTTGTACTACTAAAACGTCGACAATATACAAAAACATTTTAACAATAGTTATCATTGTAGACAGGGTAGAAAAAATCAGTATTCAAATATTATTACCTATATAAACATATATTTACAATATTTTAATTAAAATTCGATTTAATTAAAGAATTATTTAATAACAAATTCTATTTTAAATTATAACTTAAGAAACACAGAAATGTAAACAATGTATAAAATTTGATATTAAATAAAATTTTAAACTAAGCAATAGTCAAAACACCAATAAATAAGGAAATCATGATCGATATTAAATTATGCTAAAACAGGTCCTGAAGTTAAATAACATAAAATTTATGCTATTTAGTAAGTCACACAAAATGTTATTGTATTCATTGACATATTGCATAATGTAACATATTTTCTGTCTGTTGCAAAGTCCCATAACATAATAGAATGTTATGCACTTTACTAAAACATCGATTTTGTAAATCACTAGATGTCCAAAAACATTTGCTTACGATGGGCACTATGAGGCAACAGTTATACGCGCAACCATTTTGCTTATTTAAACTCTAATTATCGCCATACACGTTAGGGTTTGATTTATCGTTTTAACCACGTTTTAACCATGCATGCATAGCATAACCGACCGACATAACCGAGTTTCATATGAAATATTCTTCTTAGTAGAGATGGATATTTAAACGAAAAGCATTTAATTAAGGATACTTTTCGAAATAAGTTCAAAAGCGCTTTTTCATTTACAATTAGAAGGAAAGTATGCTAATGCTTATTGTACGTCCCGCCATCTATCAAGAAATAGCTACTAGCTTCAATAAATTTTTCTGTTTCGGCATTTTTCTAGTAGAGGGCAGCACTTTACATTAATGCACTGTATTATACTATTACGCGTGATATCCATCTAGACTTTTTGCATCAACTTTTTTGGTTCGTTAATCCAAACGCTTTTTTAAACGGAACTTAGACTTAAAAAGCAGTACGCTTTTCGTTGTTGAAGTATGTGCACGTTGTGTTGAATGTTAATTAATTACACAAGTTGAATTGTATGCGTAAATGAATTGCTACTTAAGTAATTACTTTTGTTTATTCCTAAATAAACAATGTATTATAATATAATACAATAAACATTCTGAATATTATTGAACTGCATTAGTTTTAAGATTGTGTAAATAAAATTTCGAGAAACGGTAATAGTATTGTGGTCTTGTATTATACATAAAAACTTTCCTTTTGAAACACCCTATCTACGAAAAAATAACCGCTTCAAAATCCGTTGTGTAGTTTTAAAGATTTAAGCATACATAGGGATATAGGGACAAAGAAAGCAACTTTTTTTATACTATGTAGTGATAAACTGATAACACAATGTTGCACGCTTATTATAACGATTTCTAAACGTCAGTTGAAAAAAAAAAGCGTATAAGCAATAAGCAGTTTTTAAAAACGCTTATTAAAAATCTTACAACGTAATAACGTTTAAAAATTTTCAGCAGTTATTACCACCTCTACTCGTTGTTATGTACAATTTTGCCATATTCTCTTAGTGGAGATAAAGAGAGTATAATGCTCCTTGGCTCTGGTTTACAACCAGAGACCTATTAGCTATTACCGTAGACAGACTTACTCTAAGCCTATTACGTTCTCTATGTGCTAGTCCCTACTATGTCTGTGGTCTTTGCCTATGGTCTCTGCGTTCGGATACACTCTAAAGTCGATTAATATTTTTTTTTTACACAATTAAAATGTGTGTATTCTAGAATTATAAAGATATATTTTTAAATTGTAGATCGTTTTTAAAATTATATTTATGTATAAATTAAGCCCTGTAAGTCAATATTACTTGGGTAATTCATTTACAAATTAATTGTTGGACACAAAATATATCAGCACAAACCTTCCGGAAATGGTACACTGTAGTACATAAACCAACGACAGTCAATCAATTGTTAGAGATTTTTTTTATAATTTATAGTACGTCAATCACAAATGGTGCAAGTGTAGTTGTTCTTTTTTATTTTTATCCGGTTCTAATAAAACAGTCTTTGTTATATTCTTATAAGAAAATCGTCATGTTGACAAAAAGAATTTCATAACGCCATAAAGAATCGATCGTCGTACGATCTTTCGACGTTCATACGGAACGGCTAATCATGTTTTCGCGTAAAATTCATTAGAAGTCCTTGTAAGGTGTGACATATACAGTTCCTAGTGCATAATAATCTTCTACTATAATCATGAATTTCGACGAAACTTCAAGTAGTGGATACGTGACGACGGAGACAATATATGGGACTCATGAAGATTCCCATGTTGTTATGTCAGAGAAGGTTCAATCGTTGGCTGGAAGTATTTATCAGGAGTTCGAGCGAATGATAGCTCGTTACGATGAAGATGTAGTGAAGACTTTGATGCCTTTGCTTGTGAACGTTTTGGAGTGCTTAGATTCAGCATACCAGACGAACCAGGAGCACGAGGTAGAACTAGAGTTACTGCGGGAAGACAACGAACAGCTGGTAACACAATATGAACGCGAGAAGGCGGCGAGGAAACACTCTGAACAAAAGGTGAGCATCTACTCATTACACAGACAGACCTTGGTACAGATTTCTTTGTTTTACTGCACAAGGCCACCTATTTGATTGCATTCACAGTAATTTCCTTAGTTTCTATTGATGCACACCTGTGTGTTACACATATATTTTTTTGGTAATTATCATTATCATAGTTTTACTACAATTTGTTATTATTTATTCAAATGTGTCATCCTTTCTGTTATCTCAACCCAAAGGTAAACGTGTTTGTTGATATTCCACTATTACTTCCTTATTAGGGCATTTACTTGGTCTTCAAAATGCAGTACAATTAATGTATATGAATGACCTGCATTCAATTATTGCTATTGTCTGTTGAAGACATACATTGTTATTTTTGTTATATTTGTACATGACATGTTTGTAATTTGAGTTTAACAATCTAAACAAGAGTGTTTATAATATCTGTTATTCATATAAGAATCAGTGGTAACATCTAGTTTATTATTAAAATGAAAATGCTAAGACTGACAAACAAATTACAAAAAAACTATTTATCAATATTTTTAATGGAATTGTGTTAGAAGTCTATATATGTACAGTATTTAAACAATGCATCAGTACCTTCTTGGGCACCTGGGACTGTACAATTTTATTATAAAATACTAAAATGATGAGTATTTTCATTAAATTATTTATTAATTACATGTTATTTTTTGCACAAAACTAAATAATTTGAACAGCTGTGTATTGCAACATTCATGTGGAATTAATTTAGCAATAACTTTTATAAATGAAACACTCATATTACACCCCGCTTACATTATTTCTATTGATAAATTTGAGATTTAAAAAGTGTAAATTCTAATTATATACAGTTGTTGGAAGCTGAAGATCACTACGAAGGAGAAAGAAAGGATTTAACTGGAAGACTAGAGGCTCTTGATAGCATTGTAAGAATGCTAGAGTTAAAGCATAAGAACTCACTTGACCATGCTAGCAGACTTGAAGAGAGAGAAAATGAACTCAAAAAGGTATTAATTAAAAACATATTGTCACAATAACTGCTAAGATGGATGATGTCTCATATATCTTTTTAACACATATTTAATTTAATCAAATATATAATAACTCAAATTAATTATTTAAGTTGTAGTAGTAAACATGTTAAAATTTTCACTCATAATTAGGTGTCTAATAAAATTATCAAAAAAATTAAGGTTATCCTAATTTCCGAACAGGAATATGCAAAACTACATGAACGTTATACTGAGCTATTTAAGACACATATGGATTACATGGAACGGACAAAATTATTACTAAGCACAGCAAGTGAACGGAATGAAGTTCGAGGAAGGTTAGGACTTAATCCAATGGGCAGATCAAGTGGTGAGAGCTACACATAATATAATCTGATATAAATAAGATCGTGGAGCTGTTGATTGATGGATTTTGCTATACAATATTTTAGTATTTCAATGAGTTGGGTGTATACTAAATTAAAATAATGTAGTATTTCGTGCTCACATCATATTAAATTGTTTTAAAAGGTGTATTTTCCCAGGTCCCATATCATTTGGGTTTGCATCTCTGGAAGGATCTGTAAATGTTGTTGAACAGTCTGAAAGTATGCCTGGTAGTCCTGTTAGTTTATCTTCATCGCCTCCAACGCCACCACTTGGTTCAGAGCTAGCAGCAGTACAGACAGTGGAAAGGGCACATCAGACTGATCCAATTACACAGCAGAGTCAGGTTAGTTTATTAGCCACTTTTATTTAATTTGAACTGCATTTTTATAGAAAATTGAAATAATTATCTCAGATTCAATTATCATTTATTATATTATTTTGTTATGATATGTCTCCTTAATCATCCATAAGGAAGGCCTGAACCCCTGAAGTTGAGACATAAAAGTACTGACTATATGTAAATGTTTTAAGAATCTAATGACTTTTTTGAAAAGCCTTCAGCATAATTCTCCCAGTACATTCTCCAATAGTCAGCAGCAGTAATCACTTTATCTGTTTTAGAAAAAAAAAAATGTTTTTAACACCATGTGAAATCCACACTCTATCCACACTCTAGAAAATTGAAGAATTCTCATTGATAAATGTATAATCTAAATGTGAGACTGACCACAAGGTCGTGAAATTTGCCCACAGCAATTTGGATAATGTTTTTTTTATTTTTGATAGTACATTTTTGTCTTTTTTTGTATGTGAAATAAAATATTTATTAAAGTGTTAAAGTCGAAATTAGTGCAGTGGTCAAAACTCATTTCGTGTACACTGAGATGAAGGTTCTTTTCTGATTAGTCGATCCAGCAGACGTCGCGAAATCTGCATGCTCGGTTCTCGCGGTACAGAAAATTAAATTTTAATTTTCCTATATTTGAATGGATCGTTCCTGATTGGCTAAGTAGGTGCGCGAGCGGCAAGGCATAGATTTGGCTTATCGTGTTTCGAGCTCTCAACATGCGCGTGTGCATGTCCGGTGGCCGTATTTTACCGAAGGTACTATGCGATATTGCTTAATCAGTAAACTTTCATCAGAACTTTACAGTCCCTTAACCTTGTAAAGGTTAGGGGTTCCCAATCATTTTCAGCCTACAGCGTATTCATAGGTTTGGTATTTTATTTCGGCGCGTCCAATTTGCAAAAGGACATTTTGATGAGTGAGATACTCATCCATTTTATTACGCAAGACAATTTTTGACAGATTTTGATTCCCTCATATCTATGTAAAAAAATAAGAATTGGCGGGATCTCTCCCTATTATTTATAAATATATTTTTTTAAGAACATTTAATTTCATAGGGAATTAAATTATAACTCGACGCTCTAGGGCGCTTCTACACACTGCTTGGGAACGCCTGACTTAAGTTGATGTTTGTAGGAAAAGGTTGATATGTTTCTTTTTCATTCTGTAAATGAGTAATAATTTTTTCGCTATAATTGTCGCGCCGCGGCTGAGCCGACAAATCAGAAAAGAACCTTAAAGTAACACTATATAGCGTATCGAAATTATAATTAATATCTACAATGGTAATGGTAGTACATAGGTACCTACTCAATCAATTTTGATAACATAAAATGTTTTATCAATGTATTGCAACAATGATTACAAAATTACTACAATATCGCTAGTTCTTGCACTTCGCTATTAAGTTTGTGTTTTGATTAAACCATATGAATTTATATATTGAATATAATTGAAAAATATCTAGGCTATATGCAAGGTGGAGATAATTTCTTCTTCTTTTATGTTATTATTCCGACGATGTAGGTTGTCATCACATAGGTTGTTTAATTGAGTTGTGAAAGGATTATTTACAACATATTATGATTTGAGAATGCAAAAATATATTGGAAATCCTAATGTTTTTGAATTTAAAAAAAAGAAAAATATCCAATTACAATTATAGCTCTGTAGAAGAAATTAATTTATAAAATATGCTTAAACCATTTGATTTTAAACTATGGTCCGCAGTGCCTAAGAACCACTACATAGACTAATAAAAAGAATTCGAACCAGTTATAAATTCCATTTTAAACTGCTAAGCACTTATTTTAAATGGAATTTATACGAAATTTGTTGTGGGTTGTGTGAATTCATATCACCAAAATAAACTTCTTTTGGAAAGGATAAAATAATATTTATAACTGTGGAATTATTTAACAATGGAAGGCTATAATGACGCTAAAATCACAAAATGCACTTTATGACTTGTTGAATTAGGGAATTAACTCGCGTACGGCTCGTAAGCTGCATCCGCGCTTGCGTTCTTTAATTTTTAATATAAATTTTTATAGATATACACAAGTTAATGTAGCTGGCATCAACAATGTATTCGACTGCTCATACAAACATTGGAGAATGTACAACTCACATTACTACCTCCTCTGTTACGAACTTCTTAATAGGGGCATAAACAACATTTTTTTATATTTTTATTTTATATAAAAAATACATGACAGATATTTAAAAAAAAAGATTACTCGCATAATAAGTTAAAATTAATATATTTTTTTTAATCTGCGAAAACGCCACTTCTGTCAGGGGTCAGTATGACGTCACAGCACTCTGAAATGAATATCGTTCTATGTATGCATAAGGTTGACTTCTCAGAGTTCGGAAATTAGTAAGAAGGGCGTGACGTCACGTGCTGTCACGTGATAACGAGCATAAAATATTTTCCTTTGATTAAAACAAAAAGGCAAGATACGGCATACTCATAGTTGCGCTGACAAAACAATGGCACTGATAAAATGACATAAGTAAATTCACACACCTACACGGTATTCCCCGAGCAAGTAAGATACAGGTATAAGTTGCAACTATAGCGTGAGCGAGATAGGAACTCACGTTATCGGTGTCAATTGGGCGAGTGAGACGGAAATGAATTTCAACACTAGCATGAGCGAGACAGGAACTGATGATCATTACACACTTGTGCGTAGCAACACGCCGCACAGCTGAGATCTCTCTCTCGCACATATATATATGGCATATACTCTTATCCTTGTTTTTGTTTTAATCAAAGAGTTTTTTATAATTAGTTTAAGCAATGTTATAAATATAAAAAGCATAAAACTGTGACAGCAGTTCCACAAACAGCACCGTATCTCCGAAACTATTAATCGCTGACATGCTGTTACTTCTCCATTATTTCTCATATATTAAATTGGACTATTAATGTTCATAAAATAAAATAAAAAAATTCTCAACTAGCCTATTACCACAAGCGACTCTGAATTTAATGTCATTGTACTAATTGTCAATTTATAGAAATATGTCAGTATTGGATAATCTAATGTGAGGTTGACTACAATATATGACTTACTAGACCAATGGATGTGAAAAGTTGTGTACACCCAGCAGCACAGTTCCTACAAAAGTTCAAACTAAAATGAATTTAGTTGCGGTTTAAAATCGATTGGAGAAATTTGTCCTTTGGACTACCAAGTTACTAAACTTGACGTGCTGTTGATTGTACTATTCAAACACGTCTACTTGTACATATAGGTATGGGACATACTATTTTTTCTGCTATGATTATATAGAAACAAATAGGTATGGGACATACCATTTTTTCTGCTATTATTATATAGAAACAAGGGAACCATTATACACACTATGAAAATCTTATTTTGCACTCTCGATGATTACAAATGCGCCTTTGCGTAACATTAGGCCCTAGTGCTAAAGCGGATCTTGCGAAAATGACGTAATCATGAAATTAGTGTGAATGTAGAGTTTACTAAAGACAAGAATCTCTTAGTAAGATCCAATTACGTAACTCTCAGTGCAAGATTAATATAAATGTGTTATTTATAATTGTTGTTGCTTATATATAAAAAAGATCTCACTCTTAGCTCTGGCGTATATTTTAAATAACTGCGCTTTCGCATTAATTATGTTATGATTCTGCTCTCTCCAGAAATCTAAGTTAATTTTTTAACATCTATACTAATATTATACAAGCTGAAGAGTTTGTTTGTTTGAACGTGCTAATCTCAGGAACTACTGGTTCGAATTGAAAAATTATTTTTTGTGTTGAATAGACAATTATTCGAGGAAAGCTTTAGGATATATAACATCACGCTGCAACTATAAGGAGCGAAGAAATAATGGATAACGCGGACGAAGTCGCTGGCGGCCACTAGTATTTTATGTGATGTTATCTTACTAATATTATAAAGGCGAAAGTACGTACGTAGTACGTAGGTTAGATGTTTGTTACTTATTCCTGCAAAAACTACTTAACGCATTATGATGAAATTTGGTAAAAAATAAATATAGGCTACTTTCTATCAAACTACATGGTTTAAGCCAGAAAAGTACCGTCAAGTCGCCAAGTGAACCACTAGGGCGAAGGGCGAAGGGCGCTGGTGGAAAGCTAGTATAGCTAGCATATATATATAATGTAGGTCACAAACATTGCAAGGAAATCATAAGAATAAAAATATGTATTTCTTATATTGAAATTATGACTAATGGTAATGATATGAATAATATATATATACATATATTTCAATACTCCGGGCATTGGCTGCGAGTAGGTTTTCCGACGCTTAGTTGGCTTCTATTCGCGTCGTCTTTCGTGTGACCTCTTAATTAAAACGAATATAAAGAATGCTTTCTTCTAACAAATACTCAGTGGACGATATCTTCTGGATATGAAGGTTTTTGATATTAAGCGTCCATAATTTAATGTATGAAACATAAATATTTAATATTTTCAATAACTTGAAAATTCTTCCATTAAGAGCAAATATTTTTGTTATTGTTATAAAGTTGCAAACCACCCAATAAACTTATAAGCATATAAATAATCATACTGTTATTATACGAATTGGGTGCTGTGTTGCAAGCATCGTCTTGACATTCACATGATTCCGAGTAATGCATGTTGCTAAACTTAGACTGAATGCACCTCAGAGGACGTTCATACACGTAAGCACACTCTCTGATGACAATAACGTCTTGCTTTGATTTAAAGAAACTTATCTGTGAAAGAGCACGGCACACAGGTTCCTTGTTGTTCTTGCTCCCGCATTTTTTCAAATGAGCACTGTCCAAATTGAAATTGAAACAACCAGTGTCTGTCAATGATGAGCATTGGTAACATTTTAATGACGATACTTGATTAAAGAACGGCGTGAATAATAAAACAGTTAATAAGCTGAGCTCGGTGTAATGCATTATATTTATCATACTTAGAAATAATTTAATTTGAATTTAGTGTCTTCTTCTTATTCTTATAATGGCTACTTTGTGTCAACCACAAATCATCCAACTAGAGAGAAAATTATCTAAGGTTTTAGCTTTAGACTATTGTGATTTTGTAACTACTATTTGTCTATTACTAATTTTTCAATATGAGGGCACATAAGTGACAGGTACCAGCAATTAATAATGACGTGACATTTGACTAAATTAAAAAGAAAATCCCAAGTAGGTTTGATTGGTTGTATTATTTTACTTATTCAGAATGTTGTGTTGTTGCACAATCGTTATAATAAGCTGCTTGAGATTCGACGTTTTGGTATAATGCCTTATCGTTCAAAATTGTAATATAAATCTCACCTTTAAACTGTATGTCAATAATTCCTACAAGCAATAGGACATTATCATTTTAAATAATATAAATTTGTCATTAATTTCATCTTTACAATACTGAGGAGGATTATATAACTAACGGTGCACAAACGTCCATTAAGGTTTAATGACGCCTTTAAGCTCTAATGAATGTCAAAATTGTATGGGTAATGGCATTTTAAACTTAAACATTGTTAATGGACATTTGTGCAACTGACTGTAAATCATGGGTTTAAATCTATTTTGAAGGAAGTTTTTAATTGACTTCAAAACAAAAACGAGGAGGTTCTCAACTTATATTTATTATTTTGTATGTATATACGGCTATAACTTTGTAGTTTTTAAACCTACTTACTATACTTTTTTATAAAATAGGTACTTTCAAAATGATCTCATAGTATATTTAAACAGAAAAGTGGTTTTACTTATATACTAAAATACATAATCGCGTATTGTCTATGTAATACTAAAATGATGAAATAATTGTTCAAAGAATAAAACCGTCTACAAAAATATTAAAAAAAATGAAGTTTTTTTTTTAAATTACTGTTCTTCCTTCTCAGGCTACATCACCTGTAGCGCCACCAAATGCTAGCTTGGGAAAATCTCAGACAAAGAGTGAAAAACGCAGCGGGAACACTTTATACCAAGAGCTGGCCTTCCATGATACTGAAGCAAATATAGCAGAAGGCGACGACGGTACCGACATTACAGGTAAACAGCGGTGGTTTAGGGTGACTACCCAATATACATTAGCTATAGCTGCTTCAGTACACATTTGATTATTATCTTCCTTGTAAAAATATATAAATACTAGCTATTGAATTACATTTTTCTACATTAGATAATTGATCCCCTTCTACCATTTCCCTATGTATTTTAACATATGTGAAAAAAAAAACAGTATGGTTCCTAAATGTGTTTAATTAAGTTGATATTGATATTATGTTAAACAATCTCACGTCGTCAGTACCTTTTCATTTATAAGATTTTTTAATTGACAGGTAGTTGGGTACATCCTGGTGAATATGCTTCTTCTGGTGAGTATTCAGTATGAGTGTAATTAATTGCACTGCAATGACATTACTTACATATTTTACAGTGGTTCAACGAAAATTAGATGAAACCTCTTAGTTTGTGTAAATAATAAAAAATAATTACTTACCCACTAAATTTTTCTCGGAACCACTGTAATTAAAGAGCTTTGGAATATAAAAAAAAAATAATCGTCACTAATTCACTGTGTTTATTTGCTTGCATTTTCTTTTATTAATGTATGGCATTTAAATGTAGCTTGCATCACTATTTTTATTGGAGACCTTTATTAAATTGAATTCATTATGTTATAATTATAATAGAAGCACGTATAATCATCGACATGTTTATACGAAAGTGATACTATGGTAAGATATGGGCTTTTTTAAATAAATAAACAACAAATTTTTAGGCTGTGCGTGTCTATGGTTTTTAGGTTACTTTTTAGGTGTGTCTAGCAATTTTTATGTGAATATTTAATGGTAAATAATATTTATACATAGTTCTTTTTGCATTCAGAAATTTCAAATTATACATTTTACCATTAATAAAGTTTTATTAATAACAGTTTTATTATTATTATTAGCAGCATGTTGTTAGCGATCACATTTAACATAGAAGTCAGTGGCGTAGCGTACTACATTAGGTTACTTAGATTTTCCATCAGTTTCAGTTACTCATTTAATTGCCTAAGATTTGTGTGAGGTTTTGGATATAATATCAACAATTTTAACTTTTAAAATTAATGTAATACCCTTGTAGTGTATGGCCCTGCTAGAAGTGATGCTTCAATACTTTACTTTAACTAATATTTATGTTCATTCTTTTTCCATGCGTTCTAACAAAATGTGCGCGGCTGTTTTGCAGTTAACGATAACTATTTTGGTAAGTGAAGTTCTTTGCAGTGTTCACGTTGGTATGCAAGATGCGTATTGCATTCACCTCTACATTATGTTTTCGAGGTCGACATTATCGGTATACTTTTCGGTGTTGAATTGCACAAGATGTTTTAAAGAATCGCATCACGAAACTCTGAATAATAATAATAATAGTATACTGAAAAGAATGCGTTTTATAAATAAATTGACAAAACCCAGCGCATCTTGTTTCTATGCGGTATTATGATTTATTTATGTTCGTATTTCGACTAGTGTAATAGGCTAACAATTCCTTTTCCGCCTATAAGTTAATGAGCGGTGTATACATTCACATATATATTTCTTATTTTAGAAGAGATCATTTTTATGTGGCTATATAATATTTCGTTTTATTGGTTGCAATTATTTGTTATGTGTTTGCCTAAAAATATCACTTTTAACCACTTGCACAATTAAAAAGAAAAAGCCGTTTCAAGCATCTACAATTAAAACGCGACTGAACTTATTTGAACATATTATCGATCTTGAATTTTCAACAGGTATGGGAAAAGAAGTCGAGAACCTAATATTGGAAAACAACGAGTTACTGGCGACAAAGTAAGTTCTGAATATGTTTTACTTGTGATTTCACTAAAGGGGGAATTCACGAGGCCGGTATACGTGCCAGACCTCTTTACTATAGAAGTATGGTAGTAGTCATTGCACAGACCTTTAACAAGGTCTGGCAGGCATGTCTGCGGGGATGCATGCCTGTCTAGTGAATTATCCGCTTTAGTTTACCACCGACCGTATTAGATCGCTGACGTTGATTATCCGTGTATCGCAACGCAACGTATACAGCCTTGTTTTATGTTTAGAGTTTCTCCAGCAATAATGATCTAGTAATTTAAGTATTTAATTTGCATGAAAACATTTTTATAGTTGCCAGATGTGATGCATAATCAAATGCAAAACATAGTTATATTTATAGTTACGCTTTGATTCTATGCAACAGCTTATTAACGAGTCGTTTTCTACGATTGGTTCAAACTTTAATTTCAATCCATTAAAGTTTATAATTAGAATTGGGCAAACTTTGTAGTATTTCCTAACCTGATGTGACTGTGCATATGTAATCAATTATAACGCTAGCGATCTGCGGCAGATTCGTATTGATACAGTTTACATATGTGAGCCACCAGGCTAGCGTGGTACTTTCCAAAATCTTCAACAATGGTGCAACTTCTGCTGTATATCATTCTTAAAGTCAAAAATTCTTTGAAGTTATTATGTTGGCACATATAATCCAACTAATATAAAACTAAACATTTAGGTTAGTTGGTTTTAACAAATTGCTAAATAATTTGTGATTTTATAAAACCTTAATAAATTATACACAAACGGTCTATTATGAATATAGAATCAGTTCGGCATTTTAAAAGGGTAGAGGAGTGTTGAAATTCACTGCGAAGTTTTTTATAACATATTGATTTATTTCACAGAAATGCTTTGAACGTTGTCAAAGATGATTTGATCGTCAAGGTAGACGAATTGACCGCTGAGCAGGAGATTTTGAGAGAGGAGGTTTCCAACTTGAGCTCCGCCAGAGAGAAACTAAAAGAAAGAGTTACACAATTAGAAGAGGAATTAAGGAATCTTAAGGTTAAGGTTAATTATTTTGTTATTAATTTTTTTAATAAAATTGGAAACATTTCCTTTGATATGAAAATTAATTTATATTTTATTGTAAAAACATATTATTGACCTCATTTTAATTAACTATGTCCAATTTCATATTAGCAATCTATGTTTTCGTCGTACTATGAGATTAAATCTTCAAATCGCATAAGAACGCATAAGTGACCGTGCGAGCATTAGAAATACTTAATAACAACCGTACAATGGGTTTCACCATCGCTAAAGAACTTATTGAATGTCTTATTTGGTCACGCGTCTTCAATCGACTACAGCGTTGCATTCGTTGCTTTGTGACGAATTGGTGCCTGTATGGGTTGACGACACGAACGCAACGTGCGATGTATTAGTTCATCATAATACCGTCGCATAGCAAAATATTTATGAATTTACTAGTATAACAGTACCTATGCAATAGGGAATATGTACTTTTTTTGGAAAATGATTTTATTTGATAATTTACATCGATATATAACTGTAAAAAAATACCCGGCACCGAAAAACAAAAAAAATTGTAACATTAATCGTTGGTGAAAATAAGTAATAACTACGAGCAGTTTCAACACGGGAATTTTTGACGCGCTCGTCGTGACGTCAAAGTACACGACTAGAGATGTGACATTTTAAATCAATATGGATTTTGAGTGATTTATTATTATTCAATTACCCAAATGGATTAACATCTAATCGACTTTTTAAATTATTATAATAGACTTTTTTAATCAATCATATAATTTACCAAATTGGTGAAATAAAAATAAAAGCCTAAAACATCATTTAAATTGTAATAAGTTGTTTATTTTGCGACATAATACATTAATGTTATTGCATCGATGTTAGCTTTTTATAACAACGACATCCCTATACGTGTACATTTTCGTCACATCCGCTCTGACAAGTAGCATGGCTTTTAAATATTTTGAAGTTACCGCATTTATTTTGCACTTTTTAATAATTATTTTCGAGACGAAAACGAACTAATATTGAAAAATATTTACATAGATTTTATTCTAAAGCAATAACTATTGTAATAAAATATATTTAACCCTCTTTTGAATTAGACGCAAATTCCCTATTAGGCGAAATGGTCTTTCGAGTCGGATTTTGTTGTTTAAATATCAAATTGGTTTATTATAGGAGACAATGAGTAATAACGCAGGCGGCGGCGATAACGAGGACGAGGCTGATGTTCCTATGGCACAACGTAGACGGTTCACTCGAGTCGAGATGGCAAGAGTCCTCATGGAAAGAAACCAGTACAAAGTAAGAGTTATTCATGATTCCACTTATGTAGACATATACGACGTTGAACTATTAATTTTGTATCTTCATATCGCACCAGAGAGAAATAAAAATTACGATTTTATTAATGCTTCGTTTTTACATGTTTAAAAGCAAACTATAAATATACTGAGCAAAAGCACTGGATTCTGGCGTAATAAATTAAGTAGAAGAAGAATATAGTACTTAATATTATGTAATCAATAATTTTCATAAACAGTGTTTATGTTTGTATGTGAATAGGAAAGATTTATGGAGCTGCAAGACGCTGTGCGTTGGACAGAGATGGTGCGCGCTAGCCGCGTAGATTCAACCATGGATAAGAAAAACAAGCAGAGCATATGGAAGTTTTTTAGCAATCTCTTCAGGTAATATGCTGTGCAAATGCGATTTTTGTTTTGCTTATTTGTAATAGTAACTTGTTGTAGTAAACATTTTAATCACTTAAATATATTTTAGAACAATTGTTTATTGATCTCGTGACGCACTTCAAAATGCAACAGCGAATTTATGAAACGCTAATGTTATTTTATTATTTATAGGCAATACGTTGTTCTATGAAATGCTCTCACTGCTTCATATAAGGATGTGATAACATTCTTAGAGTGAATAAACGCGTCGTTGCGTTGCTTGGCGACAGTTTCATTCCGATTTAGAACTAGTTGTTCTCCTGCGACTATGCTCGAGTATATTATAGCCTATGTCACCTGCCTAAGCTACTCACAGTAAGCTACATACACCAGAATCTTGTGCAGAAAGCACGGTCCCGCAGTTTGGAACCTGTTCAATACAAACAAACAATCAATTCTTTCCACTTTATAAAAATTACATAATTGAATGCCTTTATTATTTATATTTCTACCGAACTGCTCGAGGGTTGCATGCGTGCATTTATATGTGAAAATCTCCTGTTGTTCATCAGCTTTTTTTTTCATTGACGTAGTTGACCCATTTTATACAAAAAATATTTAGTTCAAGTTCGATATTGGTTGCTTTTCAGGCGAAATGGATTTGAATTTCATGGCAGATGAATCTAATGTAATGGTTAATATGAAATATTTTTACTTTATTTTCATGTCTTTACTTTTACTTTCTTTAGTTGTTTATTTACTTTAATTGTGTTTAGTTGTAGAATCAATTGGAGAACTGAATATCGTCATTTTACATACTTTATGCTACGATTATAGTACTTAAGATACAGATCTTTCATTGATACTTATTATTTAGTTGAACAAATTCTTTATTACAAGTACATATCAAACATATTATATAGAAAATTCGTTGTCTATTTTTATTAATGAATGCAAACTTATTTTTCTTTAAAATGAAAAATTAAGTGAACTACATTCAGTAAATTATGTTTATAGGCTCAGTTAAGGCGATCTCATATAATTTTGTAATTTTATTACATAAAAGTTAAGTCACTTAATCTAATGTTTATAAAATTTCTCCTATTGCTCTTCTATTACGTCACGTGTTCACGTTTCCTTCTTGGTTATTTTTTTTTTAGCTGTGCGTTACGTTTCAGTTGGGGAGCTTTCAATTCCTTTTATACAGATAATAACGTGAATATTATATATAACGGCTCATTATCATCAAGGCTAACCTAAATATCGAATCACGTAACTTGTCCATAAAGCGCTACGTTGACCCCTGTGCCGATTTGTAGGTGTTAATACTATTTGCAGTCGGGACTAACGGCTCAACGTGCCCAAGCCAGGATTATCTTGGTCATCTTGGTCCGATGACCAGTCTTTGCGAAAGTTGCTTAACTTTAGATATTACCGCTTTAGCTAATTTATAAACTGTCTATTATGAAAAGGCGATGTATCACGAAAAGCTTGAATCATAATGGCGAATTCCACAATTCCTTTGTAGTTTGTTGATCGAAAGATTATTTTTTCTTTTATCAGTAATATGTAGTTTATAATAGTAACGTTCGTTTCATAATAGAATATTGTTTTTAAAGATTATCGTAACAAATGCAGCAATTGCGATATATATTATTTTAACTGACATCTTGTTTAGTAGCATAGGAAGCAGATAATTATGTAAAATTAGTGACAGTTAGCTAGTCGCAGTCATATAGCCAGTTGCGTAAACGTCCATTATAATTGTTTTAGATTAAAGCGACATTACCCATACAAATGTGACATTCATTAGAGCTTAAAGGCGCCAATAAACCTTATTGGACGTTTGTGCAACTGACCGTTAGTCTGGCTTTTTTAAATTGCCTACCCAGTGGCAGTTTCTACTCTAATTTACTCATTCATAACAGGTTTCGTTTTAATTCCTCTCGTACTTTTATTCCTCGTATTTTGTTTTTCATTCATAAATCTTTTTCTCCTTTATATCGGCCTAGCCGATCATAGTCTGGTGCGATATTAGGTGAAACTTAAGATGGGCATTAATAATATAATACTACCGAAATTGGTCTGGATAATTGTGATAATGTAGCTTTTGCTAATTTTTATTTTAGTCGTTATTATAACTTTGTTAGGCTATTTATTAATGTTCATTTTGCCCATGTAAAAAACTTATAGGGAAGGCCTATGCCTTGAACGTTAATAGAGGCTACTTTAATAGACTGGTGAAGATGATCTAGGCAACGTCTACTACGTCGACCCAGCGCCGAATACCTAGTAGATGGTAACGACTGCGTACCCCTTTTTGGCTACCCACTCAATGGCCTGCATTTGCGAAAGTCGCTTAATCGTCCAAAAAATTCGTTCCTAGATACTGTGAGATTTATCAGTTGACATATAATACGCTATTGTATATTACGTTGTTATTCCATATTGCGAAAAACGAATCCTTATGTGAAACATCAATATCCTTACTAATACCGTAATTATGATCATTGTCTAGTTACAGAAAGCTCTGTTCATTTTATTCTAATGTGACTTTCTATTGGAGTGCAAAAGATAAAACATTGTATAACTATACAACGCTTATACATTGCTTATTAGTAAGGCCGTAGGTGATTTTAATTTTATTAGTAGTCTAATCCAGTGATAGTTTTTAACGAAATCTTTAGTCTGTTTTTCAATTGGCATCAAAGGGCATGTACACACCGTGTTTTTAAACGCGCTCTGAAAGCGCGTTTGTAGCGATACAAACTAAATCTACACTAAAGTAAACTCATCATCATCAGCCCTTTTACGTCCCCAGTGCAGGGGCTCAGGCCTTCCTTATGGATGGTTAAGGAGGATGGGCCATGACCCTCCACGCTGGCCCAATGCGGATTGGAGGGTATTAACGACTGCAAATGCAGCCGGGACCAACGGCTTAACGTGTCTTCCGAAGCACGGAGTAGCTCGAGATACTAATTTTTTGGTCACCCATCCCGTGACCGACCCTTGCGAAAGTAAACTATTTAATGGATTTTCTTGAAAATTTATCATCTATTTATTTAAAGATCACCACAAAGAACGTCACTAGCAGGCTACGAAATGCCCCGACTTGCGATCTTGGTCTAGAATAAAAATGTTTCATAATGAAATAAGCCAATATCTGGCGTTTACGTATTACTAAGTAGTATATTACATATTGAAGAATGTTTGATGTTGTCATACTGTTATATGTATTTAAGACCGATACGAAAAGCAAAACAAGTAAATCGTATCCTATGGTCATACCTTCATATTTTATAGAATTAGGCGTTATTTTGCAGAATACCATTTTGCATAGCCGCATTGCTGTTGTGTATTTATTCGCTATGTATGTAATAATTATAGTTTTATATAGTCAATAAAACTAATTTTATAAGAGTGTTGTATTGAATAATTAGTTAAAGTAAGTTTTGTTAGAATATTTTAACGGTTAATACCCAAAGAGCACTACATTACGTCAGTAATTTTGATAAGTTTGCGAATGGATTCGTGTACGTCAATTGCGAAAGGTTCTATTTACAGTGCTTTTAGTGTTCAAATTTATTTATGAAGCTACAGGGTTATTTGAGAATACCAATAACCTCACAGGGTTAGATAGCTAATATCATCATCATCTACTAGTTTTACTATACTCAATACTTTGAACAAAGTTGAGTTTACCACGTTTTTATTGTACTGTCGTGACGTTTATACGTCTTATGTTTTATTCATAAACGAAAGGATGACGTTGAGTCATGAGCACAGAGTTATACTTATTCGAAAAATAAATTAATTTATTAAATTTGAAACTCGAATGGTACTATTCATAAACAAGGTTTAGCGTCAGAGTAAATTTACATTAAAATTGCAATTTTAGTATTAGTCCAGATTCATAATATACAGTGAAAAAGCAAATTTACTACTTTCTAGGAATAAATATTACTCCGGTAGAACTACGTACTAGGTTAACCTTTGCAGTCTCTGTTTAATAATATGAATTTTGACTTATGCCAATTGAATCTCAGCGAAAATTTACTCCAACGTTAAATATTATTTATTAATAACTGTTAAAAAGAACTTAATAGGGAATATGCGTCTGATAAAAAAAAGTTAAATATATTTTATTACGATCATTATTCCTTTACAATAAAGTATATGTAATTACTAGTGGACGCCCGCGACTTCGTCCGCGTGGAAGTCGGTATCCCGTGGGAGTGAGAAGTTTTCCCAGTAAAAAGTACCCTATGTGTTATTCTGATGTATAACCTATATTGCTGTAAAGTTTTATCCAAATCCGTCCAGTAGTTTTTTCGTGAAAGAGTAACAAACATCCATACATCCATACTTACAAACTTTCGCCTTTATAATATTAATAGGATTTTTCAACATTTGTTCTCTTTCGTCTTGAAAATATCTTAAAAATTTCATATATCTAGTCATATTCTTTGACGCCACGACAAGCGCACCAAAAATTCCGACTAATTTTTCTTCACTTTTTGACAATAACTCTTTTTATAACATATTTCACAAGCTGTCTTTGTTTTCTGATCTTTCTTCCAGCTACAATATTCACATCGAGACATTCTTGCATTTGATCCGGTCTTTGAGTCTTCGTTACCTTCTGGTAAACCCAAAATAAATTTTATTTGAATCTTTAGAGACTGTGGCAAGTTAACCACTTGTAATCGACGATGGCATAAGAGGTATAACTAAAGACCTGGTCAATTCAATATTGGTCCTGGTATATCAATAATAATATTATGAAGCCTTGCACATACGTACATTTTGTGCTGGTTTTTGTACAGGCCACTGAGTTCTTCCATTTCGCCCAATTAATTTCCCCCGCTTGATATATTTCAATGGTACATCGTCTTAATAGTTTGCTCCCAATTGCACAGGTAACGTTGGTTCTTTCTCTTCTTCAAATGTAGGGGAATGTCAGGTATATAATAAGAATCCGCTTCTTGTTCAGTATCGCTGTCAAGGTTATAATCCTCAGTTTCTGAAATAATTTCATCATCATTATTTTCTTGCTGCAAAATTTCTTCTATAGTACTTTCTTGAAGTGAAAAATCATGGTATAGAAGTGCTTAAAACAAAAAATGTTTACCAAAAATTTGTTACACAAACGGTCGCTACCGGGTATTTTTCACCCATACTTACTTTTTACGTCTACTGCATCTGAACGCGGGTCAATAAATGTCAGCCGAGTTGTCAGCACGTGTCATGTTTCTTAGTAGAAAGGTACCTAAAGGGGCAAGTCTGTAAATTGTGTAGAAAAAAGGTGCTTATGTTGTTATTACCTCTGTGGTATTTTTTACCCGGTAGCGTCGAACGCCGGGTTAAACAGCTCATAGTTGTTACTTATTTTTATTAATTATTATTGTAACTAAATTATAGTTTTTCGGTGCCGGTTATTTTTTACAGTTATATAACGATGTAAACCATCATATGAAAACATTTAAAAGAAAAATGTCTATATTCCCTATTATGATGTTTACTTTGTGATTGTGGTTGGTGTTTTAAAATAACCCTGTATATCATAAATGTGAACTCATAATAAAAATAAACAGTTTATCAATCTCTCTACTGGTCTGTAAACTTGGCAAAGCAAAACTTGGCTTGTTTTATCGGTTTATTGAAAACAATATCGTTTACAGTACCGGTGAGAGGCCTCAACGGCCACTATCGACGCCGCACCTGGGTGCGGTCGCGGTGCCGCAGTCGCAGATGCGACATTCTCGCACTCAGGCAGATTTTCTGGAAACGCAGCTCACGGATTCTCACCACAGGAGGCACGAGAGGAGCGAGCAGTTCCGACAAGTATATAACTGTTATTATGTGTTACACAAACTTGCTGCTTATGTATATTTGCTTATGCGCTTTCTTCTATGAAATACGCGTTTACCGTAACTGCACCACAAGTGCGGTTTTTATTTTCTTTCAGGTACCTTATGTCAAGGTTTATATGCATAGTCAGTTGATTTGATTACTTGAATATTTTTAATTAAGTTGGTGTGATATGTGCCTTAATTTTTTATAGTTTATAACATAGAACGAGCACTTTAGTTATGTTTTATGATTTGTCATTATAAGGCAAATTAGCTGACAGTACAAACACTGCACCATATGTAATTATTAATATATTATCTAGCTTATAATATATATTTATATATATATAAAGTTTGACAAATATCTATATTTATAGCGTCATATTGAATATTAGAATTATTATATTAAATACTTTAAAATAAATAATATACATGCACGCTTGATATAGATTTAGATATTATAAGCTAATTTGACAGTTCAATAATCCAGTTTGGTAAATTTTATTAAACTCAGTGTTATTATCATTAATACGTGTAATAGTTATGCCAGCATTGTTCTATAGAGTACAAGTGATTCAATATTTGCTTTTTATAAACACTGTTTCACAAGCTCTATTTACCTATAAGCTTTTCTGTATCACGATAGTGTTTATTATTGTATCATAAATACAATTTAGTTGCCACTGCTGACTATTTTCGACATTTTTTCTCATTATAAACATTAAAGTGAATTTATCATCAGGCTTCGTGATTCATAATCTATTATTGGCTTTTTAAATATTATTTGGCAAAACCACATCCATGAGCGTTCGTAATTTTGCCGTAGTTATATCATCCTTTTATCAAATAGACTGGTCATTATCAGTTGAATGCGGATATTCACCAATTTTTATCCATCGTTTCACTTTAGAGCAACTTTCTTAATCTTTTTCAATCCTTTGAAGGATGTCGATACTTGTTAATATTTTTATTACTTTTCGAAGTACTCTATTTCATAACTATTGACTGAAGCAGTGGGACCAGTCTTTTTATAATCCAGTAATTTTAGACGTTTATTATCCTCAATCTGCAAAAAAATACCTAGTGTGCTGAATTCTGGTATACACCTCTTTATGTGAAAAAAATACTTTAATATTGTCTAAGCTAAAAATGTACCTGGAGGTCACGCAAATTCTTTATGCTACTATCTCGCGTCGTATAAATCGGACATAATATCGTTGTAAGAATCGTTTTTTATCCATGCAAATGTAACTTGTATTTTTTGTATGATCAATGGTAATGGTAATTTAAGACGAGCGTAGAACAAGAGTAAAACGGCCAGACGCATTTACATACGGTATTGTTTTTATTCATTTTTTGGAGTTTATAATATAATAAATTTCTAGGATTCGGAAAATGTATAAAAGCGTAAAATTATTTATTTTTAGAAACTATATTTGTAACGTTCGTTCTATAATTTTTCTCACTGAGAACGAAACGTTAAATGATTGAAGTATTAGGAATCTCTTGTGCGCCTGTTTCAAACGCAGCCACGGCGTCTTCAGGGTTCATAAACTGACCGCCTCCTTTACTTGCAGACCTATTCTAAACACTTATCGTGACCTCCACATACACCAAAGTAAGATATAACGATTCAAAAAGAACGCCCAGGGATGTGTTTAAATTAATGGTGTTTTATACTCGCTAGTGTGCTGTGTGTGATATATTTATGGTGACGTGATTATTTGTTTTCGTGTTTTTTATTTTGTTTATCCTTTCTTAGAACATAACTCCTTACCCTTTTTTTTGATTTCAGTTGAAAGAGTGAAGTTCTTCAAAGAATTTAAAGTTATTTATATACAAGTTCTGTGAATATTAAAACGTTTTCATATGTGATGTTATAAGTGATATTATATTGTAGGTGTATATAGATAGGTTTATTTATTTAATTTGTTATCACTCTTAAAAAAATATTTTATGTTAATGGGTTTTTAATGTTACATTTTATGTGTATATAAAGTGCATATAGGCTTATTTATTTTAAATAAATTTGTTATTGCTTTCTAATTTGTCATTAATAAATTGAATTTTATGTTGATGCGTATTTGTTTTATGTATGTCTTGGCATTATTATTTATTTGCGTATTTATAATGATTGTTTGTTGCTTGTGAAACAATGTGTCGTGATAATAATATGAAAGTTGCATAATTTGTGTTTACCGATTAGTTTTTTTAAGGTAAAAACGAAATATATTTTGAATGGCGGACATTAACATTATCAGCATATTTAAAGTTATCTTTGTAAAACGAAAATAGACTTATATATATATGGCGCAGCCAACTGGCTAAAACAGCCGTTCAATTTTGCGGCTAACCATTTAATTGAATGGCACCATTTAATTGGACGCCTAGTAAAGAATCATTATGACATCGTTCAACCGTCTTGTTGAACAATCTAAACGGTTTACCATTAACACCCAATCGCGGATAAGCAGATTGTTATTATCTTTTTCATCTGTCCTGTATCTGTATTGATTACAGATCGTAATAAGTTTTTGGGTTTTATTTAAAACCACCCACTACAATATTTATTTTAATTCTAAAACAAAATAAATACCAATAAATTTCCGATGAATTGACAGTTAATTAGCATGCTGACCTTTGTTCAGCCGAATGGTAGAACGTAGCGTTGAGCTACTCAACTGATCGAGAGTCAGCCCGTTACTTGAATAGCGCCATTCAAGGGCTAAATTAGACAACTGAATTGCGATATATATATAAAACAGTGGAAATGATGACACTAGTCATTTGTCATTAGAATTAGAAATAAAATTATTAGGATGGATCGAAAAACCAGTCTCAAAATTTACCTTTACGTTGGTTGTCAGCTATGCTAGATAAAAAAAGAAATAATAAGGTAAGATTTAGATTACTATTTCGTAATTATTGTTTATTGAAAACTAACAGACTCTTGTATCCTCTTTCAATATTCCTTTATTGCTTATGAATAGTCAAAGTTTTCAATTAATATATTTTTTATGGCAATTATAAATTTTTATGTTTGCTTTTATTTACTAAACAAATAAGATAGTTTCTGCTTCAAAAATAAAAAAAAGTGGCATATGTGTTTTAAGCGTGTTGTCAATTTTTGTATAGAAAGAAAGTACGTGATGTAAAGTTGTTTGATTCGGTGTTCGTGTACGTGTTATTACTGTACGTAGCGACACCCGCAGGTGCGGGCGCACGTACGCAAGGAGGACGGTCGTATGCAGGCGTACGGTTGGAGCCTCCCGGGCAAGAGCGGTCAGAGCCAGAAGGGACCGAGCCCGTGTACGTCACTGTCATCGGCCGGCGTACCGGTACCAGTGCCTGTGTTTTGTAGGTATGTATTTTGTGTTTTGTCGTGTTTTATTCGAGCTTGGTTTTACAGCGGCGGAAGTTTGGTAAGGCAAGACGAGTCTGCAGAATACATCGCGGCTCTCTAGCTACTATAGGTTTGTGTAATGACTGCAACAGTCCTACGCTAGGAATCATACACAAATCTACTATTATACAGTATTCAATATTTACCGTTAGTAGAAGTCGTTCATATTTTCATAGTTCTTTGAGAAAATAAACCCAAAATGTTGGATATTCTTCTACGTGGCGTAAAAAGTGCTCTATCTATTCATAAGCACTATTTGACTGAATTCGTTAATGTATAAATACAGAGAATTAATAATTATACCTAGATGGGCTACTCGTAATCATTCTGAAATGCTCTGTAAAAAAAGAAGAAAAAATTTTCCTTTTAAATTTTATCTACCAACTTATAACCACATTGTACACAATTTATATTCAACGGATAATTGTTACATGGTCATTTGGCGGTTAATTTCGTTAATTTTTTTAAAGCATAAAATCTTCAATGGTGCGCCATATGGGATTTAATGTGATGTCACATTATTTTCTAATTATTCTTTTCAAGCTCTTTCATTGGATACTCACATTGCAGAAGTGCATAAATAATAACAATTCCTTGATCTTGAATATTCCGCCATATTGGATTTAGAATAACGTCACATTCTTCTGATACCCATATTGTAGAAGTGGATTAAAAATAACTATTCCGCCATCCTGTATGGTCCGCTTTATCATGCATTGTCAAACAAACTAAACATGTATACAAAATTCATTTGATTCTACCTGAACAAAAATACTCACATTACAAGTTAAATAAAAGCTTTTAAAAAAATTCTAGACTTTTCGTCTTTCAGGGTCGAAATATCATATAATTGGTAAACGAATGTTTCACGACAATTCATTTTATGGTTAAAATTTTGCAGTAGTAGTGGAACTCAATGAGTATTTTAATGACAAATTAGACGGATATTTTTACATGATTTGAGTGCGTAGATGTTAAATTTGTTAAAGAAAGTAGTGTAATTTTGAAATGCGTTTCAGTCAGAAATATGTATATCTTAAATATGAGAGTAAGAAACACGAAGTTACACAGTTTAAATATGTCTTTTTGCTAATAATAAAACTTTACACAGGCATTTTTGTAGTGTTCTCTAGTGGAATAAAATGTGATGAATCTTCGTCTCATCACTATTAAAAATAACTTTAATGAATACTTTTTAATATTTTTTAAAATATTTTTTTTTTTTTTTTAATAACAGACCCATAGCTGAAAACGAGCCACGTATGACACTCCTGTGTGCCGCCGGAGTGAATCTAAATGGTGGGATCACACCGGACGGTGGATGTATGGTTGGTGAGAGTGTCTTTTATGACGAGAAGCCCGAAAATACTATGTGCCTAGGTAAGCACTAATCCCATCATATCTGTGCTGTCTGATAACGCAGGGAATTACCAATGAAAATATTAAATTTGAGCACTTAAACATTCATGACAAATAAAAATTTGTCAAGGCTGTGTAATTAAAATGTATATGTATTACATCCTGAAAAGAAACAATAAGAATTCCGCCAAAAATTTTTTCTAGCTATTATTAAGGGAGTAAGTAACTCGTTGTTGCTGGCTCGCAATCGTTGTTGTTAAGCAACTTCCAAAGCACGGAGTTGAGTTAAGCCGTTGGTCCCGGCTGCATTTGCAGTCGTTAATACCTTCCAATCCGCGTTGGCCCAGTGTGAAGGGTCATGGCCCACCTCCTTAACCATACTTAAGGAAGGCCTGAACCCCCGCAATGGGGACATAAAAGAGCTGATAATGATTAAGTGTTCCATACAAACATGATATAATGTTTCGAATATGGTATTGAAATATTGAATTTACCCTTATGATATTATTTATAGCATACGAAATGAGCAAAGCGCAATCGGCTCATTCTCCGGAAGTGGAACAAATCAATAGACAACTTCAGTCCACGCTCAGTGTTGAACGTACTGAAAAGAATCTCTCTTCTCTCGTCTGGATTTGTTCTTGTACTCAGACGAAGGGTGTAGTAATGGTAAGTATTGCAAGTATAAAAAAGTATTAATATCGCACACATTGCTCAGAACCCAAAGGGTATCGAAGCGAGAACCTCACAACATTTTGAAACCGGTGTGACTTGAGCTTTGTATCTAAGTATAGATTAGTTGTTATAGTTAGTAAGTGCAGGGAAATAAGATTTACTAAAGTAATATTATATATTATACCAAAACAGTGTTAGATAGATGATAAGAAAGAAATGAAATGATCTCACCTAATAAATTATTTATTAATGATCATACTCTAGACGAATGAGTCTGCGTTCATAGAGAAGGTTTGAAATAAAAGTGTAAAAATTGGTACATATTACCTTTATTTTACGAATTTATATTAGAGACGAATTTAGAATTGCTTATAAATTAATAAAAATAAAGATTTAAACCTAACCTAAAATAAAGTAAACTTAATAAATTCACTAATTCATAGATCATTGACGCCAACAATCCCGCAGTGGTGCTAGAATCCTTCCCCGTCAGTGACAAGCATATATTGTGCGTAGCTTCAGTCCCCGGTGCGACGGCGGAAGATTACAGGGAATATGAAGAGAGAATGTCTGGGGAGACAGAGACAAAGAGACATTCAGTGAGTAACTCAAAATGTCCCTTAATACTTCTTCTTTGAAAATGAATGCTCTATTTATTGCTGACGAGCTTTTCTACGGTAGAAAAGAGATATCTGCTACACTCCAGCGTCTCGACTTTCTCCATACAAATCTCATTAGCGTGACGACGTGGAAAGAAGACAAATTATTTCATTACGGACACAACTCAAACTCTCGGATGTAAAAGAAAAAAAAATATCACATTTATATTTATAAATATTATATTATACATTTATATTTATCAAAAAAATATCAAATATCACAGTTTGAGTATAATATTATAATATCTATGTTCACAGTCATTATTTTGCATGGGCGAGTCTGTGGAAAGTGCCAGCAATGGACTACAAGGATCAGATAGTGAAGGCGGCGATAAAGATAACCCTATTGGCAGTACTAGACTGGTGAGTATCTATCAAAAATATTTGGATATGAATGTAAGAACACATTATAATAATAATTTACTGAACACCATGATGTTTTAATACTGATGAGACTACAGTATCTAGATTTTATCCTAAACTGTTATTTATATAGTCGTTTACTCGATAATAAATCACAAAGAAATAAAAAATAAATGAAACTAAGCCTGTATGTAAGCTAACTATGTTTTTTCCTTTCAAGTTTTTTTATTCATGGCTAGGAAACTACCAGTTGGCGTATTTTTTCCTACGTCATTAGTAATCAACATTATACAAAACAAAAACTAAACACAATAATGCAACAATAAATTCTTCATTTATTACTCCGTAAATGACAAATATATCCCCGTAATAATATTGTGTTTATACGAATTTGGTGCCCCTGACACAGCACGGGATAGGCCCGTGCTGTGTCAGGGGCACCAAATTCGTACCTATAATGGTTGAAAAAAAAAACCTAGTTTACAAAATAGATTTTAAAGTAATTTACTTTCCGGCACACGCAAAAATGTTATCCAACGGAAAAAAGAATGTATACCAAAACTTTTACCGAAGTTTAAAGTCAGCATAAGAAAATTTTACTTTTCAGTTTGTACAATTAAATTTAAATGCAATTTCTATAATTATAAAAAAGAAATGCTCGTTAATTTATTCGTTTTTATTTAAGTTAATTCTTCTGCCTTCAACATCTAGTTTTATTAAAATACGTTATGACAGGTACAAGCTACACTTCTCACTCCTCCAAGCACGCCAGTCAAAGAACCTGAGCCACCTTCTGAAGGTAACCCGCCTAAGGAGGCCACAGCTAAAGACGTGGAAGAACCAGATACCACCGCGCCCGACAGTCCGCCTCTTAGCTCCACCCCTATTAATGGTAATAGATAAATGAATTGTTGTTGATGACTTATTGTGTGAAAATTTCAATAGCCGTAATTGTGATCAAAGGATTATATATAGCATGTAATAATAATAATATAATAATAATCCTTTATTTTTCATACTTATTTAACATGTTATACATGAGATTACTCCAGTAAGTAAAAGTAATACTTGTGTTGGAGATATCTCGCTCTTACCATATATAGCATGTACGATATATTACTTATTGATTATTTTATTAAAAAAAGGATTTTATCAAGCTCGGTATCTGTATTACACCATCTAAAAAAGTAAATACCTGTATATAATAGCTTTTATCTCATAAAAAAGACTGAGAACACAAAATGGCAGACAAAGACATAGTCAGAACGCTAAAATTAAAACTTTATTTAAGTTTCTTCTCATCCCAAAATCTTCCACAGTATTTCATACAATGAGCCGTTCCAACAGTTATTAAATATATGAAATAAAAGGCAAAAATGACATTGTTTATAATATTATTCATACAGCGGATCACCAAGGCTCACCTGAGCCTGGAGTCGATGCGTTTGCTCAGGAACAATCCAACACCGAGTGTCGCGCGGATATCGCTCAAGAGAGGAAAATGTCAACCGTTATGGCGACCATGTGGTTAGGAACTAAGAGCGGTAATCTATATGTACATTCTGCTTGCGGAAACTACAGCAAATGTCTTGTGAGGTTAGTAACACTCGATGGCACAAAAAAAAATATTTTGAGTACTTATGACGTTTTTATATTTATAAAATAAATGTGCGTCTTAAATGAATTGTGAATGTATCTAACGCAAGTTCGTTCAAAACTTGTGTTGTATTTTTTCATTTCACCGCAAAATTAGTTGATAAGCTATTTCATTAAAGGAACAAGACGAATAGTCAATTAATGAATCTGGACACAATTTTTATTTAACCGGGGCAGGTACTTCGTATGGCGCCCTGCCTCTTACCCCCCCATATAAAGAAAATCTTAAATATATATTAAATTTTATATATATACTAGCTGACCCGACAGACTTCGTCCTGTCAAAAAGCCTACATTGCTTAGACAACAGTGAGTGCTTGTAATTTAATATGAACTTTATACCATAGCAATAAAGCTCAAATTGACTACGTTTTAGTTACAAATCATTTGTATGGGAAAAAGAAAAGGGCTATTTTTAGGGTTTTTCCAGCAATAATTCTATCAATAATTTTTCTCGCCGTAAAAACCATCCTTGAACTTCAACGAACATTTTAAAAAAAGATTTGGCCAAATTGGTCGAGGCGTTGTTGAGTTATGCGCTTACCAACACATTTTGCGATTCATTTTTATATATAAGATATATATTTGTTATTATTGTTTGATTTCCCCACTGTTGGAATACTGAGAGTATACTACGAAAACAAAATTACTATAAACGGAAATATTCGTTATTCGATTAACTTATTTCTGAGTACATAATGCCACGTAACAAAAAGAACATCGTTCGACTATAGCGTTATTCGCGTTTGGAGTTATAGATTTACATTATATCATAGAAATAATACAGTTATTATCACTTATATATTTATTATGAGTAGGTAGATTTTAAGCTAATACCTATTTTAGTTAAAAAGTCTTGTGATCATTTTAACCTACTACATACATTTGATTGTAGTTGTGTATGCTGCATTAGCTAAGTTTGTGACGATCGATTGAGCAATCACATCTAATTGTCTGAATGAATACTTCGACAGTCTTCACGTCACTTATATGATTTTTCAGGGTGAAGCTAAACGATGCAATTTTGTCTATCGTTGCTTGTGCGTCCCGCTGTATGGTCGCGCTTGCTGACGGAACAGTTGCAATATTTGCTCGGCAGGCTGACGGCCAATGGGACTTCACACAGTATTGGTCGTTGACGCTTGGCGATCCTAAGTGTTCCGGTGAGTTATTATTGGTAACGAAAGATTTATCAATCCTCTATAAAGCAAACCTCGTGAAGAAAAACAGGATACTATAACCTATCATGAAGGCCCGATATGTGATTAGTTAGTGCTCATGGCCACAAACGCAGCTACGATCAGTGGCTTCGAAAAGTAGAGGATGATGACTAATTTCTGTTTGTTTAACCGTCAGGTAGATTATTGAAAATTATTAAATACTTTTTTTTGCATAATGAATAAATTACGGCGATGCATTGAGTTGAAATGTAACATGATGTCACGCTTTTGTACATTTTCTACGAATCTGTGATGTAGCAAGCCCACTCTTCAACTCTAATGCCTATTATCTAAACCATTTCTTGTTAATTAGAAGAAGAAAAAATACATATCAAATATTTTTCTATTATCTGAATGATGAACTAAATATAATTTTTTTTACTCAGTCATCATCCCTATTATCTGATTCTGAAACGTATTATCAAAAGCACAAGCCTACCTACGTTTAGTGCAGACATATGGTTAAAAAAAAAATGCTGGAGTGATTCCAGTGTTTTTTTGTATGTATGCCTGTATTTGTACTAGAATAATAATGTTGTATGTGCCTATAACTTTATCGTGGAAACCTTGTGCCCAGTACGTTGCCTCAGCGCGGTCGGATGCACGGTGTGGTGTGGATATCGGAATAAAGTACACGTGGTGGATCCGCGATCACGTACTCTATCACACACACTAGAAGCGCATCCGAGACAAGAGAGTCAAGTCAGACAAATGGCTTGTGACGGAGACGGAGTTTGGGTACGTACATTTAGCACGAAATATCAACAGTGATTTACTAGTAATTTTTATCAACCAGCGAGAGTCAACAAAAAGAATGCGGAAGTATTAAAAAAAAATATTAGTTCCCGAAATCAAACTAGATGTCATTACGGTACGTTCTTGATTTCTCCATGTCAACCATTCCGGTTTTCTTTCATGTTTAAAAGTAAATTAGTTTTCAAAACTCAATAAACAACTTATATTCTATTTGTAATTTTTGGTATTGTATTGATATTTAAGTTTCGAACTTTTCAAATTTCAGTTTTTTAATATGTTAGTTAAAAGGAATGGAAATGGCTGGCTGGTTTCCTGCAAAAATATACTTTTTAGTGCTTTCGTTTTTTTTAAATACTATGTACTTCCTCATTATGAATTTGAATGAAGCGAAAAACGTGTAAGAATAGTGTTATGTAGTGTACGGTTCTGTGAATATACGGGATAGGATTTTTCTTTAGTGTTTTTTACTGTATATGTATTTTAAGCATAAAAAAGTTGTTAGTAAAGATAAGACATGTACTTACTAATCTCAACACGAGAGCTGGTGAATATGAGTATTGTAGTAATGTATTGATTATTTGAAGATGTTATTTTTGACTATAAAAGACAATTGAGACTTTAGGATTGTGAAATAAAACAGTTTTTACAATTCCATGCATTATCAATATCATTGGAATATATGCATTTTGAAAGGTAAATTTTAAGTGAATTGTAGGATGTATAATTATTATTATGAGTCTAAAGCTACGGTTTGAATTAAAAAAAGTCATAGTGCACAAATTTCTTTGTTTAATTCTCAATAGGTTTCAATAAAAATGGATTCTACATTACGACTTTACCACGCACACACGTATCAGCATCTAAAAGACGTGGATATCGAGCCTTACGTGAGCAAAATGTTGGGCACTGGCAAACTGGGCTTCTCTCTTGTTCGCATCACGGCGTTGCTGATCAGTTCAGGGCGACTGTGGATTGGAACAAGCAATGGTGTAGTTATATCAGTTCCACTCAGCGAAGGATCCAGTAAAGACTCGACGGGAGCACCGCCGCCTGCTCGTAATTTACCTGGTAAATATAATTCTTTTCTCTCCTCCTGTCTTGACATTGAAATTACAATCGTCAGGAATCGTTACGGTATGTTAGAAATTTCCTATATGTTAAAGCGTCTAACATATGCTTTAAATTTCATCACAATTAATACGTAAGTTTTTAAGTGGTAAAGTAATAATAATAAACTGTAATAAATTGAATAGTATAAAGAGGTAAAGTTTCTCACTTTGTTTTTTTTTTGTATGAAGGTAATTTTAGGAAATACTGATCTGAAATACTTACATCATACAGGTGTTATAGTCAATAATTTACGTCGGCGAAGTCGTGGGAATAGCTAGTATAAAATATAATCGCATACAATTGCTGCACAAAAAGTATTAGCACCATTGAGATATCAGTGAACTACTTGTGATCGGAATCTATATAATAAACTAGAATGTATCTCAGATTTGCGAAACATGTGTGTAAAGACCGTGCCTTGTAGCGCTCGGTCCTCTTTGCATATCCCGCAAGATATCCATCGTGAATATATATGTAGATAGAAATAAATTTGTTAACTGCTTATATTTTGTTTTACTTTATAACATTGGTTACGTTGAAAAGGGGAACATACGAACTGCTTGATGCAGATAGTTGTAACTTATAGGTCACGCGGCGTTAGTCCACGCTCGTTCGGCTAGTCCTACGGGCACGATACCTTGGTGTTCGATGGCGCACGCCCAGCTCAGTTTCCACGGGCACCGAGACGCCGTCACATTCTTCGTGGCGGTGCCCGGAGCGCCTGAATCGCCGGGATCGCCGCGGTCGCCACGTACGCCGCGTACGCCGGAATCGCCGCGAGCGCCGCACGTGCCGCCCATGCTAGTTATATCCGGCGGCGAGGGGTATATTGACTTTAGGATAGGTGAGTTATATATACAACTGTTTGATCACTTTTCTGTGTCTTTTATATTTGAAGTTTTGTTTCAATAACCATTGCAAGTTCATAGTACTATAAAAGACTCTTATGTATAGTACTAGACAAGATGTTCTGAATCATAATTCTGGCATAGCGTGAGCGCGTGTTCTTTGGTCTGTAGATTGAGTGAGAAAAAATTAAGAGTAAACCAGACAGCAGGGGTAAAAATCATAATTCGTAATCTGCTGGACGTATAACATTGTAGAAAAAATGTAAAGTAAAATTTTGTAATTGCATAATTATTGTATAAACGTAGATAATGAAAACGGTACACTGATATTAGAAAGATTTGATAAAAACTCAAATAAAGTTTATTTCTTTATATAATATATGCTTCGTAACTACTGGACTGATTTTAAAAATTCTTTCATCTACTGGAAGCTACATCATATGCGGATAGTAAATATCTTTCAAATATCCTACTTTTTCACTGACTAGGAATTTTTTGTTGCTTTACAACTCAACTAGTTTGTTTGTAACTTGTTGTAAAAGTTTTTGTGTACTTTATTAATATTTTTAAGATATTAAACAACATAATTCCGGTTTTGTAATTGTTATATCTAATGTCTCTTCATAATCCCAATGAAAAAGGTTCCTGTAGAACTCGAAGAGATTTCTACCCATAATAATAATATTCAAACTGTCAGGAACGCATTCTCTTGGAGGCCAGAGTTTGATACATTTTATGTATTTCTTATCTTTATAGTCAAGGAGAAGTAATTATTTAAGTATATTTCAAAACATTAGACGTGAATTTGAATGAAGCAAGAAATGTCAATAGCTAAAAATATTCTAACTTTTGAAAGTCTACTTCTTACAAATTCTTGTTTATTTATAAAAAAAGATTTTAACTAAATACTAACCCCTTTGTATAACTCCTGAATTCAACTAGAGTTTATGACACTTAACATATTTTTCGTGTTATATTCATAAGTGTTATGCAATATTTCATTGTTTTGTTATTTAAATTATCTAATTGATTTAATACCTTCTAACGTTTATTTCATTATAATTTAACAAATATGAGTAGTTTATGTATTTTCTTTATAACAGCATTGCTGGAATTTGATTTAGATTTTTTGATTGATTCAATATGTGATAACATTTAATATGTGATATAAATGAGATCATAATAGGATATCAAAGCAAGCAATATGCACGTTAGCGTTATATGACTAATAAAGTTCTTTATAGGCTTGCGCTTAGTGAAGTAGACTATTTTAATTTGCTTTTATGCTTACTTGTATGAGTATGTTGAGCTTCTTAGGATTGGTGTCAACAGCTTATCGACAGTTATCTGGATCGGACTGCCATTAACATTTTGTGCCTATTGTTTGATTTGAATTGCAGGTGTGGAGATTATATTAGAATTTGTCCAAACAATGGCCAAGGAAACATCAACATGGCTGGCATCGCTTACTTACAACGAGTTACACGAGTCCGCTATTACATAATTCGATGATATTTAATTAACAGTTCATCGCTACTAATGTATCATTTCTAACTTAAACGAAGGAGCTTGCCTCTGCATCAGTGTTATCATTGAGATGTCATTTGCCGTCGTATACGGCAATATGTTCTTTTTTATTTTATGACTTAATCATGGCAGTAAATATTGATGTATTTTTCTTGGAATTTATCTCCATATTTAGTCATGTAACTGTTTATTTTTTCAATAATAACACTGTTCCGTCATAAACGAAACCTGCGCGCTCGTGATAACTAATAAGTATATTCTATATATTATATAGTAATATTTTTTTTATGCGCGATCATAAACAGCGGGACCTTCAACATAGTCTTATGTTTTGTATCATTTCCATATATAAATCACGTAACCGACATATATAACTAGTAGCTGACGTACGCCGTTCCATTATGATTTGTAGAGTTTTGTTTTGTTTGTTAGAAGAGCATGCGGACGACCGTGACTCCGCCTCCCACCTCATGGTTTGGAGGGTAGTCCCAGACACAGAACGTACCTGATAGAATATAAGCCCTTAGTATGTTTTCTTAATAGTATACGGTACGTGAATTTTTATAATCACACATTGAGGGCATGTATGTACGCTTGGACATAACATAATTTATTAATAAATACTAACAGTTCAGTAACATAAATTACTAACGGCAGTATTCTGATTAAAAATATATATTTGATACTTTTTATTTTCACAGTGCTAGATGCTATATGATATTTATTTTAAAAATGATCATGTTACGTATTTGTATTATTGTGGCCATCGTTAGTTCTCATTGCAAATGTCAATAGTCAAACTGTGAACTTATTTGGTACGTACGCACTGATTGGTTGAGCTTCACTTTTCCTACGCCGCCATCTTTAGCTGTGATTTTGTAGTCGAGTTTAAAAAAAAAACAAATTATTCTCGTGATTTTGAATTGTTTAACTATAATTATATTAAAAAAAGATACAATTAAACGTAACTCGTATAAATTCTTTAATTCGCTCCTATGTTTGTCTTTGAACTCAGAAGGCCATTTTAGGTAACTATCGGAAAATATTGTGAGATGGGTCGCAAATTAACAATGTACAATTCTAACGAACATATCGCTATTTAATTATAAAAGAGATAAGTAGTGCACAAATGAAGTATTTTATAGCAAGCTATTTTTAATCAGAATATTTAACTACACCATTAAACGAGGGGGGTATAATATTCATTATTTTACATACATATTTGCTTCATCGTGCTTACATCTGTCGTAACCAGTAACTATTATTTCTATCATACATTATCACGGATAAAATTGTATTTTGTGTTTCTATAATTCATTAAAATTTATTTGCAGTCTCGTAAAGCACTAGGTCAAAATGGTAAGCACGTTGTAAAATGTATGCTAACGTGTATATTGCTAAAACATTAATTGTAAATAATACATTAACAGATGTATTAACGGTTCCGATCACTTATTATTTTCATTTATAGAATGGTTTAACGTTTCGGCGACGATTCTACGTGTATACTCTTTTTTTTTTAATTCTAGGCAGAACAACCGGATAATTTTGTGTGTAACTTGCTATGTTATTAATTAATCAACGTAAACTTCTGCGAAAAGTAAATGTAATTATCTATCTCATTGACTGAATACGAGATAATTTGTAAAGTAATGAAAAGATCTTATGTTCTTAGGCTTCTCAAATATGCCCACAATGGGACATTTTTTTGTGTATTTTATTTGTTATTTTAAGAATTTCTTATTTATAGCACATGTATACAAATGGCACATGTTCATAATTAAATTCAATGTTTTTTTTTAAAGGTCATGCTTTTATAAAGAGTTATTGTTTGTCTGCCTATTGAAAATAAAGATTAGTACGAAAAATTAAAAAACTTTGAATCTGTCGCTTAGGTAATTTTATTGTTAAAGAATAGCTTTTTTACTGGACTACTCTGCATCACGTGAACAGGAACTAAGCATTGGATTGGAAAATAAAACATTTTTTTTTACTATTAGAAACTAAATTTCGATATGCAATGATAGGGTTCACTGTCTTTTATTTAATGATTTGAAAAGGAATAGTCGTAATTGAATATTTTCGTTCCCTTAATATTTCTTCAATTGTGTTCTATTAAAACTTGCTGTGTAAAAATAAAAATATGATTCCACAGCCGATTCCGAGATGGAGGATAGTGTGGTGATAGCGGAAGATGGTTCGGGCGGTGCCAGTTCATTGGCGGAGCGCGCGTCCAAGAGCCATTTGATAGTGTGGCAGGTTAGAATGAATTACTATTGAACTAACTTTATAATATTAACATAATAGTTTACTATAATCAGCCCCTAGGACAGACCAAAAAGTAAACGTTACTCATAGAAATCACTACTTGTCGGTTATAAAAAATATGTAACATTTTGTTTTAAAATAAATTGCAAGTATATTTTATTTTTACAAAGTTGCGATTTATAATTTGTGGATTAAAGAGTGGAGCATCGTGTGACGTCACATTTCAATAATCCCTTTTGTATTAAATATTTTTTTAAATATTTTTATTTCACTTTATGCTAAATATGATTTCACAGTTCTTCTTTTGTTTATATGTTTTTTATTATTTAAAAACAAAAAGTTTACTCATTTATGTATTTATAAAATTGTTGCCAGTAATTACGGATAATTATTAGACGTTTATCGGATAATTAATATGATAATTGTCCAAAAATATAATTATCTTGATAATTACGAACCCTGGTTAAAGGTCGGTCAGTCTTCACAGACTGTGGTGAAGCGCAGGTTAACTCGCAATAAGGTGATGCTGTGTATATGGTGGGATTGGAAGGGCATAATTCATTATGAGCTGTTACCGCCAGGCAGGATTATCGATTCTGAACTCTACTGCGAACAACTGATGAGATTAAACAAGAAGTTGAGAGAAAGCGGCCAGAAGTAATAAATAGAAGGGGTTTGGTTTTTTATCACGATAACGCTAGACCTCATACATCTTTTGCCATTCGGCAAAAATTAAAAGAGTTGGCTGAGATGTGTTAATACATCCGTCGTATAGTCCTGACCTTGCACCTTCAGATTTCCATCTGTTTCGTTATCTTCAGAATTCTTTAGGCAGTTTTAGGTTAACATCATGCAAGGACTGCCAAAAACGCTTGTCGCGGTTTTTTGATCAGAAGTACCAAAATTTCTATAGAAACGGGATCATCTCCCTATCTACAAAATGGCAAAATTTGTCGAAAAAATAGATTAGTGATGTAAGGTATGACATTACTTTTTAAGGTAAAAACGGGATATTACTATGACTCCGCCCTCTGTCTAACTATCCGTCTATCTGTCTATCTGTCATCTGTGTCTATCACGAAGCTTTATCTCATGACACGTATTAGTTAGACAGTTGAAATTTCACAGATGATATATTTCTTTAGCCGCTTTAGCAACATATACTAAAAGAGAATAAATATTTAAGTGTGGCTCCCATACAACTTACTTTTATATTTTTTTCATTTGCCATCAATATTTTCGTAATCGCCCAACATATGCGTTATGTTGGCTTATGACCCCTTTATTACACTTTTTAAATCCATTTTTATCTATTTAAGGTGGCGACTGCCTAACGCAGGGCCAGCCGTGTACGCACCACATCCGAAGCGGACTTCGTATACGTATGCACGTCCACCAAGCCCGCGGTACCATATAACACGTGAACCGCCCGTGAATATACGCTCATTGAAAATGTAGTCATTGATATTTTGGTCTTTATAACTCTACAGTTATAACGTCCATTCGTCTGAACCGTTTATTTCTAATGGAACGGTTAAAAGTTTATCAAAGCAGTAAAACTAAACTTTCATATCAAGTGTACTGAAATTAATAGTAGCAGTTTTTATTAACGTAGCAATAAGATTCATGTCGAATTTTTTGTTAATAACTTAGACGGGAAACCAAATTGAAATAGTATTCTTTGGGCAGCCCATAGACTTAATATATATAGACGAACAGAGATCTATCAAAAGTGGGGCCAATTTTCATTTTCCTTGTAAATGTGATGTAATCGTTTCATGACTCAATAAATCTTTATGACATCGAGAGGAAAAAGCAAAAAAAATTACTTTGTTTTAGAATAAGTTTGCCGATCTATAACAGCCTTGAGTATTAAGTTCAACGATTATTATATTTAGTAAAAATCAGTAAATAACTAGTTCCACTTTTTTATTACTTTCAATGCTTAATGGATGTCACAAAACATTCATATCGAAGATCATTAGAACATCACCAACGACATCGTTCAGTGATTTTATTCTTGCTCGCATATGTTTTTCTATAATTTTAGGTCTATGGGGGCTATACATGCCTAAAGTATAGCATTTTAGGGAACTCTGGGTTAATAAGCCCAGATCGATCAATAGATCGATTTATGAGCCTGATTATCATTTTTGTTTTTTTCTTTATTTAATCCAAAGTTCCTTAAATAGAGAACATTGAATAGTAATGAATAAAAAAAGAATTTTATTAATATCAAAATATCGACGACTGCATTTTCTAATTCTGCGGCGAATAAGGATTTAAGGGGAATTGGTTGGTTGGTTAACATGATCACTTCAGTTTGGTTGCTTTTGTCAAGCTATGTAATTGTTTTGAATCAAGAGTTGGTCCTTCGTAATCCATTACTCGCCTATTCACATTCATGTACAATGTAAATAAATGACTTGTACATAAATGTGTTCTTCTATTTTATATTCACATCACTTTCTCCAACGTAAAAATGCATTTTTAATGCAAAGCAAAATAACCTTTATATCTCATATATACAGACAAATTGCGTGTCACATTATTACGTTGCATAAATGGTAAGATGTCGCTTCATTGAAAAAAGAGATTCTGTAAGCGACATCTGGTGATATATAAAATAGTGGGACACCATCACAACTATGTGTTTGTCACAGTCACCTGTTCACGTTGTGTTTTCGGATATGGGCGCAGTGCTCGGCACCCAAAATGGACTATTTCAGCGTCAGTGTTTACACATTGTATCGTTTTGTGTATATCCGCTTGTTGTTTCACTATCTAATCACTAGCTGGCGCTTCGTTCTATCGTACGACTGCTCACGCGCCGCCGGCTAACACCATTATACGGTTCACTCGGCGTCGATATAAGCTTAATCTCATAGAAATAATGTACAAGATGTAACCACCAAATAATAATTCATTTAGTAGTGTTTTGTAGCATAGACTAACATGATATTTGTAATAATAATAGTATATATACATAATAATTGTAGGTATAGTATGTTTATCATGCGGCGGGCTTAACCGCCGAAGTATGGGCTGTGGTTGTCATCTGCATCACAATATGTTTTTTATTTATATTGAAATATATTATAAAGTAGACAAAGTTTTCACTTTAACGAGTATTGTAACAATGGTTTTGTTTAATGTCACGTAACAGTAATTTGTATGTTTTATTTATATTTTGAGTCCGTTTTTGGACTGTTTATTTATTTTTTGTATAGACGTAAATTATTTTTTGGTACTAAAACAACATTAATTTTTATTTATAAATTAAAATTAACTTTTGTATTATTTATTTTATTTAATGAAATCATTTGAAAATGAAATTATTTTGTATTTTAGATGGACATATCTATTCTTTTGAATGCGTGAAAGTGATTTCGTATTTTTTAGTGAAGGCAAGCTTTAGTTGACATTGATACCTAAAAAAATTTTTTTCTCACATATATTTTATTAAGAATAACATTCTTAAATACTTGTGTATGTTTTTAAATTATATGCGTAAAATCGGTTGACAGTAGCTGTGCTAAAAATAGATTCTATTTAATGATATTTTTACTTGATGTGATTATTTGTACTCATTTTGGTTTTTACATACAATGTAGTCAATGATTTAGATGTCGCTTGTCTTATAGTTAGAGGAGATATGAAAAACTGAGGTTAATATTACGAGTAAAGTCTCTGGGTGCTGAGTGCGAGTTTCATGAGTGTATTGCTAACCATTGGAGGCGTTACAACTTTGTATGAAAATTTGTAGTTCTTTTATATTTTGCTCTAAGGGCGCTGTAATGAAATTGAACAGTAATTTTACCCACTAACCAACTGGCACTCGGCGTCCTGGGTTACAATTCTGCTAATGTTAAAGTCTGTATTGCGATATTTCTTTTTTTACTCTCGCAATTCTGTAACAAAAAGTATGAATTTCCAGAACAATTGAACGCTGATAAATGAGCAATGTTGACTACTACTTAATTTCAATCGTGAAATATAATTGATATTCACCAATATCGCTACATGAATATATTTAATAAATTACATTGTACCGATTTGTTATGTATCTGCAGTCCAATTTAATAAATATGACATGGGGGTTTTGATGAATCTATGGTTACAGAGTGTTTGTTATGTCGTGAGTAAGTAACGAGAACTATCAAAACACTATTAACATACAAAAAATAAATTTACTTTAGCAGAATTGAAGCCCTGATGTTTTGTAAAGTGCTGCGAAGATTTTTTGTAGTAACAAGTACGTGATACTAACAAAATATCACGTTGGCCTTAGATTTTAGAACGGTTTTTGGTGCTGAATGCGCCAATGAAATATAGAAGCTTTTACATCATTTTTATTTTATTTCCTATATACGATATTATTACCTTCATTATGTCGCATAATATAAATACTTTTGTTGAGTGTCATAATATTGTCTATTGTACTTGTTAAAGTGCAAATATAACATGGGGTCTATTTTCTTTGTTTTTCGATACTCTGTAGCATCTAGTTAAGATCTTGTTACGATAATAGTGTAAGTTAATGATTGACGTATCTAAGGAAACCACCATATTTATTTTAAACTAAAAAAAAAATATTATAATGAAAAACTCAAAAATAGACCTCCACAAGTCCATCGGTGTAAATCGTGTTGTTATTTTTAATATCGTCTTATCAAACAACTAATGGTGCAAATAAATTAATTTAAGTGGATGTTTTTTTACATATTAATGTTCGTTGTGTAGCAAACTGTATATTTCATGATAAAGTGATTCGTAATGTAAACTATAAGCGAAAATATTGGAGTTTGTTTAACAATGAATATTTGTTTTGTGTGTTTATCTATACATTATAGACTTTAGTGCAATGTGTTGTAGATGAACCTGGATACAAGGATTTTTTACTCAACAGACATGATACGGAAGTATTCTATTTCAATGATACTGCAATGAGTATAACTGTTTAATTCATACCTAATGTTGAAAATATTCTTCACGAGTTACCTTGCTGACTTGTTCTTTCCAGCTTCTAATTATCTGTCTGTCGATAAGTCTGTTGATAGTATTTTATCCTTGTAACTAGACTCACCTGCATGTCCTAGTCAAAATGAAACGACGATCTAGCGATATGAAATTTAGCTAGTGATTTACATTGTTTTGCCTTTAATGTAATTGGAAGAGTAATATAAAAAGTCGCCTACAATAAAGCTAACTTCTTACGCAGGCATTATTAGAGTATAATGTGGTTATCGTATTAATACCGAAAAATCTAGAAATCAAGTGCTTGGTGATCAATGTTAAAAATATTTATCGAATCGAAGCTTTCAATAAATGTATTGCAGCAATTAAAATGTAAAAGATTTCTAGAACGGCCACAAATTATTTTATTATATTTTAAAGAAAATATTAAGGATTCTATTTATTTAAGTACTTATTTTGACGCGAATTGAAATGTTTTTTTAGTAATATTTTCGGATGAATTACATTTTTTATTGGCTATTTTTATTTTTATATTGTCATGTTTTATAGTGAAAATTTGTGAGTGGTGGAGATTTTACTTTTAGTTTATTTATTTTGTACGTTCATTTTGAAAAGGCGAATTTTTATTACCACGTGTAGATAATAACTTATCAGTCAACATTTAATAAGCAATTTTTTTCTTGTTTGTATTGCGAATAAAGTAATGCTGAACAAAACCTGTATTTTATTTTAGTTGTTAAGAATCTTTAGTTTACTTAATGGAGGTTGACTTCTTGCTAGAGTCCAAAATACCTTTTACTTCATCAGAAAAATACGTAATCTACGTACTAAGAAAGAAATAATAATTATAAAGAAATTATGAGTTCATCGCCATCTTTCATTCATTTCATTTTCTACTACTTTTTTTACTAGTATTTTCAATTTCCATTGGCAGAATTGTGTGAAACGCGCAGATTAGCCATTACTAAAAGAAGAAGAAGAAACTATTATAAAGTGATTTGATAATAAGATAGCCTATTTTTAAAGTAACAGCATTGTTTAGAAGCAGAAAACTGTGTTTATGTATTAGGTATTATCACGCAAATTAACATTTTTTATTTATTTATTACGTAACTTTCCGAAAATAGTTACGTTCTCAATCATTTTCTTCTTAAAAATAGTGTCGTGGCGAAGTATCAAAATCAAAATCGGATACAATTCATCATCATCAGCCATAAAACGCCTACTGCTGAGCATATGCCTTCCCTATAGATTTCCACGACGAGCAGTACTATTTAACCTTATTTACCGTACACTTTTTAAACTTAAACACTCGTTAAAATTGATGTTGTTATTGAACTCTCGAAACGAAATCTCGTAAATTGCATTTTTGTAGGCAATCTTTGAAACGCAAAGGACGACCTTTGGAAACGGCTTCTCGCAGTCACTGTACAATTTAAACTATAAAAATATCAACTTTAGTCATTGTTTTAGCCTATATCAAGACGTAAATTCTTGTAATAGAGCAATTTTATAAAATTAATACGCTACAATTTTGATTCTACTATACAAATAACTGCTTTCATGAATTTGAGCTGAAAACAAATAACATAGGTAATATTCAGTTTTTTTATGTTATACATATTTTTATGTTTGTTTACACTACCTACTGGAAATAGTGTTAGTTCCAGATGAAATTGCAAAACTTGTAGGCTATATTTCTACTGTATTATTATTTAAATAATTACTTTTGAGGATTCTGGCAAAATCAGGCCGAGGTTGATTGTTAATTTTTGCTAACCAAGTTTAAATATTGCAAACAAATTAACTACTTGTCATAAATATTTATCTAAAAGTATATGAGCGGTGTCAATAAGTCATTTTTGGCAACTTCAAATAAGTAATCATAACATCATGTTACATTTCTGAAGTTATAAAGTATTTAGTTGATTACTTAGAAACGTAATTTCTATTAAACGAAAAAGTAAAAAACCGTGCTCGACATACAGACTAATCGATATCTCATATTATAAACGGTTATCGACTAATCTGTTCGCGAATTTATTCATTAGCGTCACTATTTAGTCTGATGACATTGTCAAAAGGACCTCTTATTTTGTGAAGACTGTAGGTTCATGTCGTGACACCAGATGGCACTTTGAATAAAAATTGTTTTACCACCAATTTTAAAAAGCAAAAATTGATAGATGTTGTTGCTTCTATCAATTTTTGCTTTTCAAACGTTTAGACCTTGGACCACCAAGGGAGCATATTTTTGTGAACGATGTCTAAACGGTATGTGATATATGAATGCTACCCTAGATAACTAAATTACATTTGTAGATACATAGTATCTACACATTCGTCAGGTAGACTACACAATAAAAAACTTGAAAATTATGACAAATTTTATTAAAAATAGGACTGCTTACATTGCATTTTAGTCTGGTTTAGTAAGAACTAGATGTAAAATACATATAACAATATTTCATTATTCATTATTAAATTTTTGTGATCCACACATTTGTGAATCCACGCATTTTAGAATTTCATGCTTCGATGTTTTGACATCCTATGAGCCTTTGATGGAAATAAATAATTTATTTTATGCACATTGGTCACATAATGAACAGGACTTTCATGTTATAAAGTCAAACCAAGCATATTTTTTATCAGGACTTTGATCTCACGTCCCAAACTCACCGTTTGTAATTGCTCCAATAGTCAAAGTTTCATTAGTTGAAATACCATCTCTATGAAAAAAAATTTTTTTGATTTATCTACTGTCGTAGTGTCGGCTTCTTATTTCTCAAGTACCTAGTTCTAGGTGTAAATATCA